GTGGAGTGCTAGAGTGTCTCTCTTTTGATTTTATTTTTATGCTTGAGCACTCTATCTTCCTCAGACCAACTAAGTTTGCATCCTTCTTTATAGTACGGCGGATCCTAAACTCAAAAGCAAAAATAAAACATTTGGAGAGCGCTTTGAGTTCGTCCGCCTTTACAACTTCAAGAATTGAGGGATACCATTTTATCTTTATCAATTCTTTGAATCTTTCATGGAACTAATAGCTGCGACATATCTCATTAAGATCACATTAGTCCCTAATTTCGATGTCATCAATACACCAAAACCCACGTTGAGGGCAAATGCACTTTCAATTCGGCATATGGACTACACTCTGGCTTCGGTGTTCGATAATGCTTTTTTCATCTAGAGCAACGACTGCATCGAGGAAAACCACTATGAAAGAAGACGATGGAGGAATCTGAATAGAATATTGTACCTTGTTTATTTTAGATTTTCTTGTGTAATTTTGGGATGTACTATGTTGAATTTTAATATAATTCCCTCTTACCTTAAAAAATGATGCGAGATGCAACTAAAATAGGTTGTGCTTGATATTTAGCATCTATTACATTATCTTTTGAGATCTTTAGATATTTTGTTTAGGGTAGGTTGAAAGAAATATTAAAATCTAATAGTGAAGAAACATGATCAACAAAACAAATTCTAAAAGGGACGTGGCTTGCAGGTTGTGGGTGCAGTTGGTCTCCCAATGCCCGATAGACCCATCGGCTGGCCAACTGCCGATTTCACCTATCGGCTCCCAGATTGCCGATGTCCCTTTAGTCAGCTAACTGATTATCGACAAGACTCTGCACTGTCATTTTTGCCTGTCACATAGACTGTCGGCAATTGACTGGTCGATAGGATACTAGTTTTACAATTTTACTAAAATAATACCTATATCTGCAATTATTTATTAAAATAATATTATTTGAAAAAAACAAGTCTCTTCTCCCCTTCATTCACTGCTCAAAGCTGTTCGCGTCCTCGACGCAGAGAAGCTTATCTCCAATCTCCTTGGCCACCAGTCCGGCTATTGGCTCGCATGGCGATAGCTCTGGCGGACATGCCCTTGTGCGGCAGGACGGTTGCGGTAGCTCCGGTGGAGATACGCGCCGAGTGCGACGTCTCCGTGTGTGTCACTCTCGGTTGCTAATTCCACATGATCTTCACATGTCAAATAATCGGAGCGCATGTGTTTCAAACACATATTTTACAAGAATCAGCTCAATGATATAGAAAAAAGTTGGATTTGAAAAGTAAAATGTGCTACGGTGAAATAAAATCTTGTTAGTGCGCTTCCTTCCTGTTAATACAACAGCCTGCTGGTTCCATTAAAAAAATCTCTATCAAAAGACACGTCGCATACCACTAAAGGAACGAGACACTTTACCTTTCACTAAAAAATAGCATTGTTAAATCATGAAACAAATCAAATAAATGCGAACGGCCATACCAAATCAAAGACTTAAAATTAGGTGGACAAATTCCACAGGAAGAAACTTATTCAGCTCCAGTTTGCAAAACCCCTGCTATATATAGGAGTGTCCAAGTGTGTGCTCTCTTCAGGGTCGAGAGAGTACACTCTCCTCAATGCCCAACGCCCCAACCACAGCTATGACCGGCGGCTTTCCTAACTGCACCGCACGGTTCGCGCCAAAATGCAGCATGCTTGGCATTGGCAGACTGTACGATTAGTACTAGTAAATTCTCTTCCAATTCGTTAATCCAAAGCATTCTGACGGACGTTCCAAACTCATGACCAGCGTTGATACACAAATAAACAAACCTCCCATTTTTTTGGTAGTAGTACATATGTATATTTTTCTCTTCAAAAAATCACTCACAGCAGGTCGCAACACAGGGGCGCAGGGGAGAAAGAAAAAAGAACACTAGCAGTACGTAGCAACTCTGAGAGCAATTGCCGGCCACTGCGTCGATCGATTGATCGATCGATCGAGAGAGAGAGCTCAAAGCAGGCTCGTCAGCTCATCATGAGTTGAGTCGAGTACTTCAGTTCTTGACGAACTGGAGGCCGTTGGCCTGGGAGTATCGCTCCATGAAGCGCATGAAGCGGTCCCAGTCCCGGGGCGTGCGCATGACGTACTTGGCCTCGATACGCGCCGGCTTGCCGTTGACAAACTTGGCGCTGACGTCCACGGACTGCAGCACGCCCTCGTCGTCGATCATGTAGAGGCCCGTGATGTCCCCGAGCTCCGCCGACGAGTCGAACACCGACGGCTGCTCGAACGTGAAGATGGCCATGCCGTTGCTGCCGTCCCGGGACTTGGTCAGCCGCACGTCAGGGATCGTCTGCTCGTCCGTGCCCTGGATGAACTGGATCGCCGGCCGAGCCGCCATCATCACCACCTGCGCTCGCCGGGGCGCCGTCACGCGGCATGCCCACCGCGGTTGCCCAGGGCACTGCACCGACACGCCGTGGAACGACGACTGCAGCTGGCTCTGCTGCTGCTGGCTAGGGGCACCTGAACGGACATACAGTACAAAAGAACCTGAGAGTATTAGTAAATGAAACACATGCACATAGTATTTGAGTTGATTAACTTCCTGCTTGCATTGGCTGCTCATAACTTAATTGCCATACAGGCATGCAGGTGAGGTTAAGTGAGGTGTAGAACAAAGGACACCTACAACATGGTACTGCACTCCATCATGCTAGACTGCAGCACTTTCACAAACTTAGGTCTGTGTGACTGAGACATATATATAAGCTCAGGTTGCTGTAAGTTAACCTCAACAGTTACGTTCAAAAAAAAAAGTTAACCTCAACAGGTTTACAAAAAAAGAAAAGAAAAGGCTGTTTTGGGTACAGCATGCAAGTCCGATAGCCACAAAACTGTGTGTTAGGAAAAGATATGAACAACTTTATTTATTACTAAACTCCATCCCAAATATGATCTATCAACAAACCCGGAGTACCTCCCTTTACTTCTTCTACAATTAAAGAACATGACTGCTCACTATCCGGGCGCTTTTGGACCCTTTATTTAAAAGCTAAAAAGGTCCCGGAAACCAAAAGCTAGAAGCTCACTATCTCAACTTTTGGCTTATGAGTCGTATGGCTTTTGTGAAAAAATAAATAAAAAACTAGTAGTCTAAAAGTGACTAAAAGGTCAAACAAATGGGGCTTAAAGGCTGAATCTTAGCAGCCAAGTTCCTGGAACGTTACATATATTATTTCTAAAAAACGATGTGATGAAGAGAGTATACAGGTTTAACTAACAAATGGAACGGAACGATAGAAACCATGGAACGCGTTCCCGAAATTAGGAATGTATTACTGGAACGAGAACATGTGCAAAACAAGGCGGAGAGAAAATTTTGCCACTATGTGGATTCCTAAGCGCTGTTAGCTAATTTTAGCTCGTGGTAGCCGGTACCGCTAAATGAGCCTTTCTTGTAGTGGGTGCTATACCTTGAACGTACGGGCCCAAAATCAACTCGGGCTGCTAAAAAATTCATCGTGCTGGGGTTCAAACTGAATAAAAGGGCAGCAACAGCTATCGTGGCGGGCCAAGCCCAAAGCCTACTAGCCAGTCGCTCCCTATCCTGATGGCCGGCCACTCGAGCTCTCAGAAACAAAAGGGTAACTGGGTAAGGCGGCGGAGGCTGCGACCTACGAGCGCGCGGCCGGCGGCGAACAGCTTGACTATGCAGCGCTGCCGGCGAACAACATTTTCCAAGGATCGGAGGGCAGTATATATGTATGTACCTGCAACGTACCGACGGGGCTGCTGTGCTGCCCGTGCCGACACCGGCGAGGCGACCGCAAGAGCCTTCATCACTGCGGCCATCCTCCAGCCTGCCCTGGGGCTGTGGCTCTCGAGTCTCGAGCAAGGCAGCTGGCTTGGCCGGGGAAGTTGCAGCCTGCAAGAGGCTGATGTGGTGTCCGGGAGGAAGGAGAGGACGGGGAAATGCAGAGAGAGCAGCGGGTTTGAGTGGTGCAGAGTGGCACGAGAGTGATTGGGTAGTGGTGTGTCCAAAGACAGCCATCCATCATCCAGAGAGATGATGACAACTGTTTCAGAGAATCCCTCCGGGTTTCGGGTATTTGCACGTATGCCCTTGTTTCTTGGTGGGCCCCGTATGCCAGTGAGACATAACTAACCACCACCCTTCCTTTCCTTCCTCTTGCTCATCTCAGTCTGTTTTCTTCCTTTCCTTTTCTTTTTGATAATATCTGTCTTCTTCCTTTCCTTGGAGCATGACATGAGGATGCATGCATGCAGTTGTGCCTGTGTGGTGCCCTCGTGGTCCACGGAGGTGCCAGGAACGACGACCGGCGCGTGAGCAGCCAGCAGCTCTGGCGGGGGCAAGCCGCAAGCGGCATCGGGCGCCAGTCAGTGTTCTACTTCCTGTCTTCACCGCCGCCCATCTCCATTCTTCTCTACCCTTCATCTTCTTCGCCCAAATGCCGTCCAGAACTGCCTCTGAAGCTGGTGCTGGAGGATCGGACGGCACTATCTTGGAGCAAGGCACTCTTTAATAAATTATATGTTCAATTGTTGATCAGGCAGTATTTTCAACTCGTGAAGTGCAACAAACTCGGTCTGGAGTTTTTCCTTGCTTCCACAATAGCTCCTGAAAAATGCAGTGTAATCTTAATTCTATTTCTGGGTAAAGCTGTAAGTTCCGGTGGACTAGAAACTGGTTAATTTTTTGTTCATCTGCAGTTATATGCTTGCACAGTTAGTTAAAAAAATGGTCAGTAAAGTAACAGTAGTGGAATTCAAGTACTATTGCATTGGAAGAAAAAGCAGTAGTAGAAAATTTATGCCATGTAAGATTTCGATCATGTTCTAGCTAAACCTTATGAACAGAGAGTACAAAGAGTAGACAGTAGAGCTTACGGATAAGATACCAGTGTTGCAACTCACTGTTGAAACAGCTTGTAAGAAGAACTTGGGAAGTTAACAACCATTGTAGTGATTCTTGATAGTGTGTGGCTTCTATGGTTTATAATCCACCGCTTAACCAACAATGCTGTGACCATGGGGCTTCACCAACGCTTTGTCTTGCAAAAGGCTCCTAACTTGGACTGCACCACTCCACATGTCTCTGTATGCATAAAGGTTTGACATAGTTACATAGTAACCGCTATTTCCAGGCTCCAAATGGAGCAGATGCTTGGCGATGGATTCGCCCATCTTGAGTTCACTCCTGCTACTGCAAGCATTTAACAGTGCACCCCAAACTCCATGTGCTTGCTGAGATGGCAAGCTCTCCACAAATTTGTGTGCTTCCTCCAGCCGACCAGCCCGCCCAAGCATGTCTACAATGCAAACATGATGTTCTGGGGCTGGTATGATCCCAAACTTTTCTGACATAAGGCGATAATACTTCCATCCTTCATCAACAAGTCCAGAGTGCATGCAAGCTGACAATAGAGCAATGAAGGTGCTTTTCGTGGCTTTCAATCCAGAATCATTCATCTTCCAGAAAAGTTCTATAGATTTCAACCCATGGCCATGGAATCCAAAAGCTGATATCATGGAGTTCCACCCCGCAATTGATTTTTCGGCAGAAGCTTCAAATACTCTGACAGCAATGTCCAGTCTCCCACACTTGCAATACATATCAACAAGTGATGCTGAAATAAAAACATTATTGTGCAGAACAGACCTGACCACATGCCCATGTATGCTCTTTCCTTGTCTATAATCACCAAGCTGTGTGCAAGCACAGATGATACCGACTACAGATATTTCATTAGGTGTGAAATCCTCCATCTTCTGATAGAATTGCAATGCTCTCCAGCCTTTGTTATTCTGTGCGAAACCAGAGATCATACAATTCCAGGAGCACAAATTTGTCTCTCCCATGCTATAGAAGACTAGCTCAGCACTTCTAGTATCTCCAAAGCGGAAATACATGGTCAATAATGAATTTTTCACCCTCAAATTGAAAGCAAGCAAGTGCTTCAGGATCATGCAGTGGATGGATTTCCCAAGTGCTAGCAGATTAAGATTTCCACATGCTGATAAGACACTAACTAATGTGATACTATCAGGTTTTATGGCCAAAGAACAATACATGAACTGGAAGGCTTCCAATGCATCTTTGTCGAGTCCATTTTGTAGACAACCAACTATGATTGTATTCCATGAAACGGTATCTGACACCGGTATTATTCTTTCTATCAGCGAAAAGGCGGCCAGTGGATCACCAAAGCTCAAATACATGTGCATCAAAGCATTAACAGCTGAAACTCCGCTACGTGTAAATCCACACTTCAGGCTGAAAGAGTGAAGTGCTTGGCCAAAGCTAAGTTTTTCTAGATTAGAGCATGAAGGTATGACAGCTAGCATAGTGGTCAAGCTGCACGATAAACCTTCAGAAAGTAATTCTTTGAACATCAACTGAGCCTCTTCTCGCAGCAGATCATTTCTTGAGTAACCAGAAATCATTGTGTTCCATGATATCAAGTCCCTTCTTGGCATTGTCCTAAACAGCAGGCTTGCATTAGATGGTTCATCGCATTTCAGATACAGATCAAGTAAGCTATTTCCTACAGAAGACTCCTCATTAAGAAGTCCTATTCTGATTATGTATCCATGGAGTGCTTTCCCTTCAGAAAGTAGGCCTTGATCGCCACAACCTGAAATTATGGTCACCAAAGTGGCAACATCTGGCTGGTTCTCCAATCTCATTTCCCTCAAAACAGCAAGGGCTTCAGTTACTCTTTCATTCTGGACTAGCCCCCTGATCATTGCATTCCATGATACCAAGTTCCTGTTCAAAGTGCTGGCAAACACCTTCTCCGCAGCCTCTGACATTCGAAACTCAGAGTAGAACGTCATGAGAGAATTCACTACCGAGCAAGATGCAGTCTCATAACCGAGTTTGACCGCACAGCTATGCACAGACTCCCCAAAGGAGAAGAGATCATCTAGACGAGAGCAGGCTGAGAGGATAGAAGAGAGGCTCACCTCATCTGGCTGGAAGATGGAGCAGCTCATTTCCCTGAAGTACCACGCTGAAACCTTAGCAAAACCATTAAAAATGCTTCCACTTATGACAGAGTTCCATGAGTTGGTGTCCCTGCACGGCATGCTCTGGAACACAACCTCGGCGGAGTCAAAATCCCCACACTTTGCATACATGTCAACGAGAGCGTTCCACACGCTGAGACAATGAGCGCCGAGGCACCTCTTGGCCGCCATGCCATGAAGCTCCATCCCACGCCGAAGGTTACCCGCGCGGGACGCCCCAGACAGCATGACGACCACGGTCGTGGAATCGAACTCCCCGAGCTCGCGCGCCATCCTCCTGAACAGAGCCGCGGCGTCGTCGTATCGGCAGCTCATCGTCAGGGCGCCGATGGCCGCGTTCCACATGATCACGTCGGGCGCGACGGCCTCGCAGAAGAGCGCCAAGGCGGCGCCGGCTCCGGCTCCCGCGCCGCGCCCGGCCCTGGCGTACGCCGCGAGCAGGGACGTGCGAACGGGCGGGTCCAGCACGGCTCCCGACTTGAGGGACGCGCAGTGGAGGCACGCGATGCGGTCCGTGTCACCGGAGGAGGAGGCGGCGGACGTGAGGGCACGTACGATGGCGGCCGCCCTCCCGTGCGGCGTTTCGTCGAGCAGGCGGTGGGCATTGTCCGGCGCATGGTGGAACGAAGACGCGCGGGCGGCGAGGACGGACGGGGGTATGAAAAGCGACGAGGCACGGAGGAGCTTGGCGACGAGAAGGCCGGGAGTGTGGCGTCGCATCCACCGCCGCGGTGCGTCGAGCTCGTCCGGCGGTTGCGGCTCTGCTCCTGCATTGGAAGGCCGGCGGGTGATGCTTGAGAACTAACAATTCAGAAGAGGACGGCGAAGAAATCTCCTCACTAGCGTGGCGGGCGCCGGGTGGGCCACGAAGGCCAAAAGTTTTCACCTCGCTTGACAAAGCTACAGAAATTTTGGCCCAGCCCACCAGGATGGAAAGGGATGAAGGGAGTCCAACGACTGTTGCTTGGGCCAGTTATGAATTATGATAGGCTGGATACGGGGGGCCAGATCTAATGTTTATTTGAAATTATAGGGCACCCAAAATGTGTAGAAAAAGGTTGTCCTCATGGTGCCATAGAGCATCTCCACCAGATTACTCAAATTTTCTCAAAAAAAATATTACTCAAATATTCCCCAATACCAAAAACAGCCATATAACTAATTGAGAGGGCTCTCGTAATACTAAATATTTTTCAATAATCACGAAAACACCCCTCTCTCTCTCCTCCTCAATTGAAGCAGAAAAGAAGCACCTCTATGTACTTTTAGGAGATCAGAGATAGGGATTATGGCGAGGATGCTATAAGGTCACCTATATACATTACGAAAGTAGTCTACATAACTGTCTATTAGCTGAGTTACCCATAAGGCCAACCCTAGTGCACCATGGTATAGTGCTACCCTAATCTCGACTTTCTTGGTGCCATGTCATATAGAGTGGTGTTGCTATATATTCAGGTTGTCTTGCAGAAGTACGAGTAGACAGCCTTGCCTGACGCGTTGCCAAAGCAACCAGTGAATTGCATGTTGCGGTGAGAGAGTGGACAATTGTGAGGAGATAGAGAGAAAAAGTATATGCATGAGCACCTTTGGCACCATGAAACCAATTAAAGGAAAATAGAAAAATAGCAGGGTCAACCTCTGATTGGTAAGAGGTGGTCTTCAATCCATTTCGTGTGTACGAGGTTAACTTTTTCTAAGTCTAACGATTTTTATATGCCCATGTTAAGGTTGGCCTAAGCCTAAGGAGTAACACAATACTCACCATGTTCGCTTAAGCTACTTTTTAGCTATGTAACCGTGTTTTTCTCTCACAACATTTCAGTATAAGCATAAGCATAAGCCAAATTTCAGCATAAGTGAACAGGGTGACTGTCGGTGTTTTCGGACCACCCACGAGTAAATTTGTATTTGCGCGTCTGGCTCGGATGGTGTGCTCGGAGGACACAAGGGTTTATACTGGTTCGGGCGGAACGTCCCTACGTTCAGTTTGCTGTTGCTCGTGTTACCGACACTTGGTTTGCAGTAGGGGTTACAAACAGGCGAGAGAGGGAAAGGATCCCAAGTCTCTGATGAAAGGAGTGAACGGGTGCTGAGAGCTCGATCGCTGCTCAGCCGTGTGCTCGTGTTGTGCTCTTGTGTGTTTATCTCGTGATCTGGCTTCGTGCGGATCTCCCCCTCCTTATGGGGCGCCCTGCTTCCCTTTTTATAGGCGAAGGAAAAGCATGGGTTCCAGCGGAGGAAAAGGAGAAGAACAAGAGAGAAGAAGGCTTCCAGGATCACCGGATCCTTCTTTCTCTTTATGCGGGTCCCACCAACCCTGTAGACGTCAACAGGGACGGCTCCACGTCGCAACCCTGTTCGTCACTGACGCTATGCGTAGGCGTCATCTTCCGGTCATGGCGTTCTATTCCGTCCCGGCGGACGTCGTGGTGAACTGACGCGCCTGTCAGCGTTCATACGAGGGTTAGGTAGAATAGCACCGGCACGCCCGACGCTGTTCTTGATGTGAATCCTCAGGTACAGTCCATCATGGCCACGGGTTACATCTAGGCGTCCTAGTCTCTTCCCTGATGTCAGAGTTTTGACCCAGGCCCATACGCTTGGACTTGGAGTAGTTGGCGGCGGTATAGGTCCCCGTCGGACGAGACGGAAACCACGCCCTTGGGGTCGGGCGAGGCGGAGTCCGCGGCTTTGGGTGAGACCCTGTGGCCTTGGGATCGGGCGAGACGGAGCCCATACCCAAAGGGTCGGGCGAGACGTAGCCTGCACCCAAGGGGTCGGGCGAGGCGGAGCCCGCGGCTTTGGGTGAAACCCCCGCAACCTTGGGGTCAGGCGAGACTGAGCCCATACCCACTGGGTCCAAGCGAGTGAAACCTGCGTCCTTAGGGCTCAGGCGAGACGGAGCCCGCACCCAAGGGGTTTCAAGAGGCGGAGCCCACACGGCTTTGGATGAGACCCCTGGCCTTGAGGGTCAAGGCGAGATTTTGAGCCTGCACTCCACGGGTCGGGCTAGAAGTGAAACCGCGGCCCTTGGGGTCAGGCGAGACGAGAGCCCGCACCCAAGGAGTTTCAAGGAGGCAGAGAGCCTGTGGCCTTGGGTGAGACCCCCGAGGCCTTAAGGTCAGACAAGACCTTTTAATACATCTTGCTTTATCCGAGAAAGTTAACATGGACGCTAACCTCTTTGCTTTGGGTATCCCTAATATGGGGTATGACTATCTCTGTCCTCCCCCTCTCTCCTCTCTTTGTCCTTCTCATGTATCAGTGTGATGGGACCTATTTGTATGGGCTGCACATCGTGAAAGATTGAAAGGGCACAAAATCCACTTATACAAAACCCGCACATGTAGAATGTCTTTTGGGATATACGTTGTCCTTCATCATTGACATTTTCACCAAGTTCCAAAATATGACTCCATTTTTTTTTGCATGCTGTATTGTGTTTGTTCGAACTTCTAAGTCAAATAATGTTAGATTTAACCATCATTTTTCAAAAACATCCATGCAGTTTCATAGCACGCGGGAACTATATTATGAAAGTATTTCTTAAGTGAATCTAAAACATAAATTCTATGTTACTCCCTCCATCCATAAAAAATGTAATTTTTGTTTTTCGAGAAGTCAAATAGTTTGAACTTTGACTAAATTTATATAAAAAAATACTAACATTCATGATACAAAATAAGTATCATTGAATTCGGTATATGATATATTTTCATAATAAATTTATTGGAGACATAAATATTAATACTATTTACTATAAGCTTGGTCAACTAGTTTCACCGGCATGCATAGTTGCATTCTTTTAACCTATACAGAGCTTTTAAAATTGATAATAAATAATAGAAAAAAATTGACTTAGGACCAAACTAAAACGATATGTAAAAAATTAGAGAGGAGCAATGCAGAGCAGGTCTCTCCAGATCAAAAGTGTTACATACGGGGAACTGTGCTGGGCTGCTGGGTGCAGTTTGGTGGTGCCACCCACCGGTTTGTTCCAGGACAGGAGCAGGTCTCATCTCACCACGCTAGCTCCTGTCTCCAATGACGTAAAGCTACCTTTTTTCTCACTTGCCACTTTGCCTGGATCCGAGGAACCGATTCTCTCCGTCCAAGACGACACGGAGTAATAAACCAAACCAAAAGCCGTTGCGTTACGAACTTACGATTTACAAACAGCATCAGCCATCAGGGAGGGAGAGCCGAGGGATCCTTCCTTCCGCTTCCCCCTACCCCGATTAGCGGACGAGGGGCACGTGATTGGCGCCGTTCGACTCGTGCAAAAACCAGCCAGAATTTACTGTTCACGACTGAAATTTATTATTTACGCTCTCACAAATTTCTTCGTATTACTCCCAGCCCGACAGGGCCGATTGCCTACTTAATCCGTTGGCGTCTTCCTCCGACAGCCTATCCAAGAGCAGAGCAGAAGGCAGGAGCAGGAGCAGGCGAGGCGAATCTTCTCATCGATCGTAGCTGACACTGACAGACAGCTCACGCACGAGACAGGCAGGGGCGCTCCTCAGCTTCAGAGATCTCGTCCAACGCCATTCTTGTGTCTGCCTTCCTGCTCGTGCTGGACCGCTGGAGCACAGCTCCAGCTTCAGCTTCTCGTCCAGCCGGTCCGTTCCCCAGGGCCCAAGGCCCCAAGCTCACGTCCACAGTAAAAGATTAGTCAGAGCTGGTAATACTCCCGGTGACCTTCGAGATCGATGATTGCAGGGTAATCTTCGAGATCGATGATCTAGCTCGGCGACGGGGGCCGGGCAAATGGACACTGCACGTGAAGAAGCTCTAGCCTGACGACATGGCCGGCCGGGCGGGGGCGATCCCATCTTCATCGCGCGCGCGCGGGTGTCTTTTTCCTATCATTGCTCATTGGATGCCCACCGGGAGCAGCTTGTCCGCTGCCTCCACGAGTTCACGTCACATGTGTCCATCTTGTTTCAGCTTTAATTTGGTGAATTCTTATTATGCCCGAGATTTTGGGCGTCATGGTTCATGAGATTTGGCAGCTACTTGTTGCATCGTCTGTTCCTCAGCCTTGCTTTCGTTGCGCCATTTGTTACTTAAGACTGTAAGTAATGTGGTGTGGCACTAAGTAACTAAACTCCTACATACTATATATGACCCCCTTAACCCCTTTGGAAAGAAGGATCTTTGTATTTTTTTCTGTAAAATTCCTACACAATTCCCGTAAAATTACTGCGTTTCAATGGGCTCCAAAGGTGTGAACTGTACAGTGTGGAAGCGGTTTGTCTTTCTTGCAGTAAGGTAAAACTGTAATTTGTGGCCCTAAGTAAGTAAAAACCTGCTAGTAAGCAATGCAAGTTCTCTTATGTAGGTTAAGACAACACCACCAGCTATCCGACAAAGAGAACAACTACTGCGAATCCACTCGATAAAATGAATGGATACTGCAAGAACCACTCACCCCATCTCGTAACGGCAGAATGTACTGGAGTTGTTTTTTCCTTTATTAGTTGGCTGTGAGAAACAACAGTCAATGTTCTTGGTAGATACTGTACTAAGATATGCCTGGACAGTTCAGAGACCAAGTGAGCTTCTCTAACCAAGACTGTCTCAGAACCACGAGATCACATGCCTGCAGCACAGCGGCGGTTGATCATGATGTCTTCAAAGCTAATTTCTTGGCAAAGTGGCAATGCCAGAGGCTTTATATGCTGATAATCATGGGGTGATGATGGAGCTGCGAG